CTAAACTAATTCAAAAAAGGGAAGGACCAAATATACGAATATAGCGGAGTTAACCCATTAATGCCCAATGGGTCTTTAATGACCCACCAAATTATTCTATTGTGTGTTGCAATGAAGAGATGGCGCTAAGAATTTGTCCTCTTTAATTAGCAAGCACGCACCCACCTATTTTCATTCCTGTGCAACACGTGGCCCGTATACTCTTGTTTGTAAGTGCTGAGATTTACGAGTGTAAGAAAAAGGCAAAACAATGTCTTCGAATTATTATTGGTAAGTAGGTTAAATTTTAATATGTTTTTTTATAATTATTTTTAAATGTTTGTTAGAGATTCTTGTAAATATTTGTTATAGTTTTAAATGCGTTTTTAGTAATATATAAAACTGACAAGCCAGTTTTTGTTTTGTTTTTTTTTTATTTTTTTTGTTGTTAACGACCTCTTGGGCACTTATGAGACCATTTTATAATTATGGTATTTTTTAGGAAAAAGCCACTTTCCGTTGCTGAACTGCTAGAAGAAGCTGAAAAGTTGGACGAGGATGAAATTCAAATATTGCCAGAAAATGATGGCGAAACTATCAACTGCGACTCAGGGGGTGAACGAGATAACGATCCAAACCATCTTAGTACGCGGCAACTCATGGCAGAAGGCGAGCTTGTGTATAGCAAAGAGAATAGGTGCACTTTATTAAATATGGAGGACAATATATAATAACAGCAAGAAGGTGGTAATGTTGACTGTCAATCGCAGTCAGTTACTAAAAGCATGCAACCTCCTAAAAAAAGAGTAAACCAGAAATAAAATTTCAATGGGAAAAGGGTGATTTGAATAAGGTAAATGTCTCTTGACATTATCTAAAGATAGTCATCCTGTCGAATTTTTTCAACTTTTTATGAGTCCGTCACTTATCGAAGAACTCGTGAAATATACGGTAATGTATGCCACTCAAAAAAATGTTCCCAGATTTGAGCTTTCAAGCAATGAATCATATGTATTTATTGGAATTCTTGTAGTTAGCGGTTACGTTCCTCTACCTCGCCGAAGAATGTTTTGGGAAGAAGCAGAAGATGTGCATTCACTGGTAGCTCAGTCAATGAGACGCAATCGGTTTCAGGAAATATGTAGATTCTTTCATGCTGCTGATAACAACGTCTTACCTCAAGGGGACAAAATGGCTAAGTTGTGCCCAATTATTGAAACTTTGAGCAAAAAATTTATACAATATGCACACTTGCAGTCCTTACTATGGAAAACATGGCTGCAAGCAATATATACGCAGCAAGCCGATTCGATTCGGACACAAAGCTTGGGTTATGAGTACCAAACCAGGTTATTGCTTACAGTTCGAAATTTGGGGAATCTGTTGTACTAAACTTTGCTGAGGTTCTGCAAAGAGAATATTCTGGTTTGCGCTTTTCACAATACTTTGACAATTTTTTTACCTCTGCTAAACTGATATACAAACTTACTCGGATAAATTTTGGGGCAACAGGGACAGTGAAAGAAAATAGAACGATGAAATGTGAATTAAATGACTCAAAGTTAATGAAAAACGAAAAAAGGGGAATTATGGACAGTGCGGTGGATAAGGACAAAGGTATCGTAGGAATAAAATGGAAGGACAACAGTGTTGTGTTTTGTCAAATGAGTACAGCGTTGAGCCTTTACAAAAATGTAAAAGGTTTTCGGTTCAAGAAAAAATGAAAGTTGATGCTCCCCAACTCCATGCAATAAAAATGTATAACACGTTCATGGGAGGTGTGGATCAAATGGATAATAATATATCCAATTACCGAATTGCCATGAGGTTCAAAAAGTGGTATACCCCCATACTGTATTGGATGATTGATTTGTGCCTTGCTAATGCTAGGCAACTAGCCCGCGCATACAGTTATGAACAAGATAATCTTTATTTTCGAAGAGAAATTTCCCAGTATCTTTTAAAGAAATACGGAGTAAAGCCGAAAATGCCTGGGCCAAAAAATCTTCTATATATTGTACCACTTCGGAAGGACGCCACTTGATAGTTTGTCAACAGCCAAGAAGAAGGTGTTTATGTAAAAACAAAACCACAAAATCGTGTGAAACTTGTCAAATTCCACTTCACGACAAATGTTTTGATGAATTCCATAAAATGTAACCACTGTTTAAAATATCAAAAAATAAAATAAAAGATAATTAAGTCTTGTTTTTTATTCAAGGGGTCGTTAACGACCCATTATCAAAATCAAAACATTTTTTTATATCATATTTTTTAATTCAAAAGAATGAATTTAGTTGATAGTTCTGGGCATTAATGGGTTAATGTTAAATATTTTAGAAATTCCGAATTCCAAATCAACTTATTATCTACAGGCCGGAAGGCGAAGTAATTTGCAGTAAAAATTATAAATATTATTATAATCTTAGTAAACAATAGTTTTATTTTAAAATCGCCCGTAATGGAAGGGGAGTAAGGATTAGACTCCAGACCATATAACGACCCGGAGCTGTCGCTTTACCACGTGAGTTTCTTGTCCCAAGGATCCGAGCTTCTTCGAACATCTCCGGAATATTACCGCACGGGTTTTTGGAACAATCGGATGTTTTCGGAAATTTTAGCGCACGGCTTGCATTTTGGCGTTTGGCAATGCTGACGGTCACGTCAGTGAATGTTTTTGTGTTGTTTTGCAAACATATAGCAAAAAACTAACAGTGGTAGAAAAAGAATAGTATTCAACACATTTGGTAAACTTTTTAAATCACTCGTTTATTAAACACTCGTTCCGCTCGTGCCAAGTAAACTGGTGACTCAGATGCCGTCTATAAAATACTGTTTTCTATTTCCCACGCCTTGAATTGTGACGTTTGTCAATTCTGACGGTCATGTCAGTGAATATATTCGTGTTGATTTGCGAAAATGTACCAAAAAACTAACGGTCATAAATATAGACATAGAGTCACTGACTTCGCTGCGTTCCGCTCGGTCGTAGAAAAAGTGTAGTATGCAACTCCTTCGGTAAACTTTTTAAGTCACTCGATGTTTACCGCACTCGCTGCAACTGTATGTGGCTCAACTATTTGGTACCTATTAAAAATGTTCTTATTTGGGCTAAATCTAGCCTGTAAAAATGGTGGATTTATGCGTTGCATGCTAATCCGGCAACTATTTCTAAAGATAGTGCCCACAGAGCCGTACCGTCTTTTCAATTGACTTAAAATCAATTCTAACCTCTTCGAGGTCTAGAAATTATTAAAAAATGATTGCAGTGCTTCAAAAATCGTCTATAAAGTAATATAAGTGGTGTTTTTTTTTCGATGTATAGAACTTTAAGTTACAATAAAACAACGATGGATTATTCGATTGACATGAATTCTATTTATCCGAAAGATAATCTTGTGGCATTACATTTTAAATATGATTTTTGGAATATGACCGCCACGGCTGGCGCGGATGTAGTCCAATCTGGACGTCCAATTTTCGATGACTTTTTCCAACATTTGTGGCCGTATATCGGCAATAACACGGCGAATGTTGTCTTCCAAATGGTCACGCGTTTGTGGCTTATCCGCATAGACCAATGATTTTACATAGCCCCACAAAAAGTAGTCTAGCGGTGTTAAATCACAAGATCTTGGAGGCCAATTCATAGGTCCAAAACGTGAAATTAGGCGGTCACCAAACGTGTCTTTCAATAAATCGATTGTGGCACGAGCTCTGTGACATGTTGTGCCGTCTTGTTGAAACCACATCTCCGGGACATCATGGTTATTAAATTCAGGAATGAATCATCATAGCTCTATACCGATCACCATTAACTGTAACGTTCTGGCCATCATCGTTTTTGAAGAAGTACGGATCAATGATTCCACCAGCCCATAAAGCGCACCAACACGACATAACTTCAAGATTAGCTTCGCTCCAAATGCGGCAGTTTTGTTTGTTGACGTAGCCATTCAACCAGAAGTGCGCTTCATGGCTAAACAAAATTCGCTTATCAAAATCAGGAACAACGGCAATCTCGTTATGGGCCCATTCGATGAATCTACGCCTTACTTGATGATCGTTTGGCTTCAATTCTTGCACGAGTTGGATTTTGTGAGCACGTAAACCAAGATCCTTCCGCAAAATCTTCCATAAAGTGGATGGACACAGATCCAATTCCTGTGCTCGATGGCGGATGGACTCATTCGGATCTTCCTCAATGCTACGCTCGACAGCAGCAATAGCTTCTTTTGTACGCACCGTACGGCGTCTCTGGGGATGCGAGTTATCAGCAAAGAGTAAACGTGGTGCGAAAACGTTCCATGGTTAATCGAATTAACTGCTCCGATGGACGATTTTGTCGACGATAAAATGGACGTAGTGCGCGATACGTATTCCGCACAGAACCATTATTTGCAAGCGTTGTTCAGGCGTGAGTCTATTCATGATGAATTGCCAAACCAAACTGAGAATAAATTACTTGACAGCTGTTAAATCGGTCGCCACCTTGAACAGTAATGCCAACTTAAAGTTCTATACATCATAAATAATAACCCTATAGTACTGTACTTCAGAAAACTAACATTGGGGTTTAAGTAAAATTTCCACTGTATTTTAGATACCGTTCCCACTACAATGCATTACGGTCGATTGCTCTACATTATTTTATATCGCATAGCATAACTGCCGATCTCTGAAATGAAATCAAAAACATTGAATACTAATTAAGACTAAATTTTACCCCATCCCTCTCAGGGGAGCTCGAAGCGAATAACCAAAAATAAACAACTCGGGATTGTTCGAGGCATTTTCTTAGGCAGATCCGTGCTCGTGGGCAAAGGCGCCTTCACAATTACCGCGGACGCGATGCAGTAACACGAGCCTTTATTAAAATATTGTTTTCGTTTTGAAAGTTTCGCGACGCGCACGAGAGTTCTCTTGCAGCTCGGCAGCCGGGGGCGGAGGCGGCGACGGCGGCGTCGGTGGTTTATTATTAAACTTGGAAGCGGGCAACGTGTAACGCGATGCGGACTTACCTGTGTTGCGTATTTGCATTTGAGGCTGCCATGGGTGACCGGGCTGGGTACACAGACGCCCTCGGGCTCCCGCCGAGCACATACTCTGCAACAATATTTCTGTTAGTAACAAACCGAACGCTGTCGAGGAGCGTAAGTGATTCAGACGCCGTGACTAAAGTCTGTATTTATTCGGCACTAGAAACAACTGCGGCAAAATTTATATTGCACTGTTCAACTTTACCAAGACAAATTCTGCCTGAGACGTCCCAATATCTTCACCTGACTCTAGAAAATATTGTTTATATGAATACATAATTTAAAATTTGATTCCAAATGTGTTCACAAAAAATTAAATTTCGTCACGTTATTATAAAGTGGCAGTAAAACAACTTGACGGGGCTGCTCATTTTATTTATTCCTTATTATTCATTATTTTACTAGTTATTAAATATTTCTCTTCGCTGACATTTTCCTTTTATAGGATTATTTTATATACACAACGTCACCACTAAAGTCCGCATCATATGGTAACATTTTAACAATAATTTACGAAAGGTTTAAAACATTTGACTTTACCTGTCAAAATTGGCGTTTTTTATTAAAAATGTATTTTAATTTTTTTTTTTAATGAAAAATGGGTATTGGATAAAGATTTTTCTTTTTTCAGTTTCGTAAAATGTACCGATTAAAAATAATGGGTAAACTTATGCATTTCTGGATTTATTAAAAATATTTTTATAGAAATGGTTATTTTTTTAAATAAAAAAAAATGGAAAAAGATTTTTTTGGACAAACTTGATTTTTTTTCACGTTTTTAAAAAGGATGTTTTTTCACTTTTGTATAAACTGTGCCGATTTTCAAAAATAAAGTATAAACATTTTTCGATACATGTTAACTTAAAGAAGTACTTAGACGGACTAGACTGAATAGTTTAATTAAGTGTATTTCCTTAAATTCATCTTAAACACTCGATTTCAAAGAACATCTTCAAATGCACCTATAGAAATAGTTAAAACCAGACAAAACTCAGTGGACTTTATTACATTGTAAAGAATACAAAAAAAGGATAATTAATTCTCCAAAGAAACTTCCACAGGCTACTGTAATACTTTATACAAAACTCCTGGATTCCTCCTGCGTCGGTTTTTGCTGGGTCGAACTTGCTGACGTTTCGCCAATCATCCTGTTGGCTTCTTCAGAGCTTGACTGAAGCTGGCTCTTATTTTACTCTGTATATATTGTTTGAGGGGGGCGGAGCTAAATAAGGGGCATAAACACCGTCTCGGATGACTGTTACCGATATAGGTAACAGGTAGAGACCTGAGTCGCGGTTAAGATTGTTAAGTTGTTTATAGATTTCTCCCTCTTTACCAAAGTTCCTATTCCTGAAACTCTCAACATCATTGCAGATATATTAAAATCCGAGAATCTGGAACCAAACCACCTTAATCAAAAATGCTTGTCTGGAACATATTTTTCTTATAACGGTCAGATTTGTGTACTAACTTCGGGAACACCAGTCATCGCGAATTAAGAAGAAAGCTCTCGACACCTTTTATCTAAAATCATTATAGATTATAGAAACGCTACGTCGATGATACTTTTGTTATTTGGCTTTATGGTCAAGAAACCCTAGTAGATTTTCTTAGACATTTAAACTCTGTACACCCTATCATACGTTTTACCATTGAGTTGGAAACTAATAATAACCTTCCATTCACAGAATTAAAACACCTTACCTCTGCTCTTCTCTCTAATAATTTCCACAGTAAAGATATTAAACATTCGATCAAAAAATACAATTCATCACAACCTTCCAATAGCAATGAGATCTAAAGCAATCCTACACTTGCCACTGTGGTCCTTCCTTACATTGAAAATATCACTGACCACATATCAAATGTTCTAAAGAAGTATGACGTCAAAACCAGATTTACCACTAATCCAAAAATCGCTCAACATCTTCGGTCCATCAAAGATAAAATTCCATTTGAGATGCCAGGAGTTAACAGCATTCTATGCATATGCGGCAAAGAATACATTGGAGAAACTAGACGAAAAATATTAACTAGGCTCAAAGAACACGAAAGAGCCTTACGACTAAGACAAATAAACTCATCAGCTGTTGCCGAAAACAAGCACGAAACCGGACATAAAATTTTATTCGATAAAACTAAAATTCTTCTCAAACAATATATAAGCAGGTACAGAGTAAAATGCGAGTCAGTTTCAGTTATGCTCTGAAGAAGCCAACAAGATGATTGGTGAAACGTCAGCAAGTTCGACTCAGCAAAAACCGACGCAGAGGAATCCAGAAGTTTTGTAAAAAATGATAATTATTTAATTATTAACAGATGGTTTCATATGTTTGCAGCATATAATCAGCGCTTATGGAGGACGATCCGGACTCATTGTTGTGACATTAAAAAATCAAGTAGGAAATGTACATCGACATGCGAGTCCAGTTTGAAGGTTAGTTATGAAATAAATTATAAGCAACTTGATCCCACAAGAAAGAGAAGTAATAATACCGAACAATGTGTTAATAATGCTACTCAAAAACACATCGGAGTTAAATAGGAAAATTGATTATTTACATTGTAATAAATTTTAAGTATATTTTATATACACTTTGAATTTCTATATTTTTATTGGTAACTTCACACTCCAACTTGACTTTGTTTATAAGAATGTGTGTACAAAACATGGCCTAAACTAAATTTGTTATTTGTTTTCGTATCTCCCACTAGTTCATTGCTATCACTATTACACTAACTTCTATCTATCTATTTCCACACTATCAAACCTAACACTCCTTTTAAGCTTTTTTTTGCATTGCACTGAAAATGTTATGTTGAAATCACTTTCTCCTTTTGGTTCTATGTGAACTGCTTTACTACGATGGTGTATTTGATTTGCCTGATAAGACGACAGGTAATTAAAACCCTATTTCGGTGGATTCGGGTTCAGATTTAAACAGTAGATACTGTTTCTTGTTGGCTCTTGACTTTCGTGGCTAGCTTTTAATCAATCTTAATTTGCATTCTTAGTGACTGTTATTTGTTACCTGTTTCTTGTCTATATCTGACTATTTAATCAAAGCAAGCTTGCAGTCTTGTTTAGTTGTCAAGTGAAACAATCCTCACGAAATTGAATTTGAGTTGAATTGAGTAAATGGACTTTTCATATACCCTACCCAATTACCCAGACAATTTTAGTGAATTTTTATGATATCACACCAGCCCCTCCGATTCGAATATGATATACAACCATAAAAACATGTTTTTATAATTTCAACAATGGATTCGCGTTTCGCAATTTATTTTTTCAATCAAATAGTGTCGTACTTAGTCAGTTCAAATTTCTTATCTATAAGCGACATTATCACGGATCTTTAACGAGTTTCTAAATGGCATATCTACTAATATATACATTCATAAACGTACAGAACATATCCCGGTGCTTATGGAATTATGAAAGTCGGCTCTCTATGAAACTCGTTGCTCCCTATACATTGATTATAAGATTTTACGGGCCAAAAGTAAGAAAATTCCCATTAGAATGCGATTATCAGTTTGCTAGTTTCGTTATCACTTAAAATTAACCGCAATCATCATGCGCGAATCTAAACCGCAATAGTCTTTATGGTGCAGTCCTATTTAAATTAAAAATTAGAATTAACTTCGCCAAGTTCTTTTGACCCCACCTACTTCGTTAAAGTTAAAATTGCACGGTAATTATCCGGAGACTAGTTCAGTTTCTTGATGTTTTTATACCCGCAAGTGGAAAATTGTACTCGGTAATTGGTCGAGAAATACGAGGAAGTTTTGGTTCTCCCCTCCGTTCTTTTCACAAAATAATAATAAAGAATTACGACAGTACGCAGAAGATTGCAAGCCATGACGCCTCCTTTCATCATTTTGAATAAGTCGCAGATTGCACATGCAAAGTCTTCGATATTGAAATCAGAAATCGCATTGACATAGTCCGGTATACTTCTTCTCTTGGTCGCTGGCATCGTTGTTTTATTTCATAACTACAGAACATCCTGCATGTTCTCCTAGGCCTGTCTTAATAATGGTACTGAGTTCGACATGCTATAACAATTTCTTCTTCTTTTCTTCTTAGTATAAGTGATAGCATGGAGTAACGAGATCCTGTTGGTAAATGACGTAGGTAAGATACTTTTCCTGTTTACTATGGATAGGGAATTGAAAAGGGTAAGATCAGTGAAAGAACAAGCACACGAGAAGCTGAAGAACTGACGAAGAACGATATTTGATTTTGTGATATTGAAGAGATCTAAACGATTTTACCCACACACATTTTAATATAATTTATGCAACTAAATGCCTGGAAGTTAGGGATGATCTTTTTAAGACTGTTTACAATAAAAAAGAAACCGGACCAATTTAATCAGTCGTCGGAAACATTTTTTTTGAGTTGCTCTAATATTTATGACAAATAAATACGAAAATATATCCGCGAAAGCGTTTTTTTTCGTATTTTCCGTGCAGGGCAGCATACATAATCCGAAAGGAAATATCATTTAAATTCATATTTACGCCATAAATCACGCGTGTGGGATAAGAATGTACATTTGATTCCATCGCATGAATTTGTAAAATGCGTCTGCACCGAATAAAATGTTTAAAATATGTCTTGCGCGAAATGTGTTACTCGCTGTCGAATAAAGTTTCGAATTAGGTGCGGCATTTCCATCAATTTAATTTAAGTCGGGTTCACGCTCGTACAAGACATGGTCGTGATTTTATTTCTGTCAATCGCTAACGACTTATCACAAGAAAAATATTGGTTCACATATCGAAGATAATAATGCAATTAAAAATATATTAGAATAACAACAAATAGTATTATGTGGTTGATATTGTTGAGTAGTTACATTTCTCACGCAAAACTACTTGAAGCATTATATTTTTAATTTTAATGTCTACTGGAATTGCAAGCTATCAATAATTTCATCTGTTTGACTAAAACTTAGACTTTTTTATATTTATTAATTATTATTATTATTACAACAACTTTATTGGCTGTAATTTGAATACCATAAAATCTCCCCCTACTAACACGCATTTGAAATA